ACTTCTATTGTTATATTAAAATGGTGTTATGATGACTGACGATGTAGATTTAGGCAACAGTTGATATGGAACGAGCAAAACCGAAATGTTTGTACATGTGAGTTTACATTTTTTATTGGGATGTTCAACCAAAGATTTTTTTAGGTTAATAGAGCAAACCACCTTACATTTACGATCCATCATGTGACACGTGCATCATAAAGAAAAATTATATATATTTTAAACTTTTCTAAGAAGCTGTGGATTAACACGTTTGTCACTTGTATTAAACACCTAATAGTAGGAGCTGCAACTTCAGTTATATGCTGACTTCACCATATCTACAAATAGCTGTGGCTCAGGAGGTAGAGCGGGTCGTTTCCTAACCAGAGGATTAGTGGTTTGATTCCTGGCTTGTCCAGTCAACATGTCGAAGTGTGAAGTGCCCTTGAGCAAGACACTGAGCCCCCAGTTGCTCCCGCTGATAACGCCGGTGTGTGAATTTGTGATTGCAAGTGGGTGAATGGCCAAGTAGCGTGAAAGTGTTGTAAAGTGTAGAAAAGCGTTATATAGTGTTAGTATTAGACCATTTACTTCAGCTTTCACTTGTAAAGTCATCCTTCTCAAAATACTAGTCTTTAGCAGCAAAGAAGGCAAGTTCTTGTAGCTTTTACTTCATAGTTGCTGCATAAGTCAATAAGTCACTGGTCTTGGAAGATGTTGCAAAAAATACTATAAAAACTCTATACAGGAAGAAAAACAGTATGAGGATAAAATACTGATGTTAAGAAAATGTGAGGGCCAAATTCTCGGTTTCAGTTTAATGTGCAGTTGTAAAAATAATAATAATCACTGACTGGTTAAGGTGCATACCACATAAGTGTCATGTACTTGGTTTGGGCCAGGGAGCTTTACTTAATGTCAAACCCCTATTTCCCTTTTGTTTCCTGGTCCGTGACTTGTATCCAAAAAAGGGGAAAATAACAGGAACTAATCTTGAAACAGATAATGTTCTACATATCAACATGACCTAAAAACTTGGAGGAAAAATGTACAATAGCATTTAGATTTGACACACCTGCATCAAAACCACAGCAAAGAAACCAGTTACAAATGGTTAAAAATGCCTGAATAAAACCTGATCACTTGCAAACAGAGTCAGCAGGGACTTCTAAATAATGGGTTCCAGAAATATATTGGAATTACCCACAAAAATGTATTTAAAGCCTACAGAACATTTAAGATTACAAAGTGAACAGTAGCAGAATAAATACATTTCTTATTTGATAACAACAGCTTGGCACCCCTTTCACAAAAACACATAAATCATTATTCTATATAGGTTTACCTGAGACCATAAAGTAGAGAATCATCCATGACATCCATCCCCATTTTGTCAAAATCAAGCTGCGATGCAATCCAGACAAAATGAACTTCAGCATATCTCTCAGATTAAGACAGTTTACCACCTTTGAGCACAGACAGATCAAGTAACTGCTGGTATATGTTTGACCACTTCCTCAGTTCTTCGTCATATTACCCCTCTCATACCTTTGTACACAAAACTGAAGCAGGGTACACACCCAGTATTTCATCTTTGTTTTCATGCTGCAAAGACCACATTTCTTAACTCCTGCAAAGAACTAAAGATAAAAAAAAGAAACATATCCTCATAAATCTCAGTGTGCATTTGAAACTGAAAGCACAGTTAGCGGATATGGTTCTTCACATTTTAAGTCTAATGGAAAACAAGACATATGAATGTCCTGATGATAATGACACTTTATTACAGACTCAAGGTCCAGGTTCAAAACAAATAAAAGCAATAAAAGAACAGTTTAAAAATGAAACAATAAAAACAGAAAATACATAAAAACGAGAGCACAAGAACACCCATAAAACTACTGCCCCTTTAAACGACAGGTATACCAGTGTTTCCAGAGAACAGAAGTAAAACGCATGTCACTGTGTGCAACATTAGTCAACAATAAAATATGATTTTTTGAACAATTTTTGAACGGCTTAAATCTAATCTTAAAGGTAGAGAGGGTGTCCGCCTCCCGAACTGAGACTGGGAGTTGGTTCCATAGGAGAGGAGCTTGATAGCTAAAGGCTCTGCCTCCCATTCTGCTTCTGTGGACTCTAGGAACCACAAGTAAACCTGCACTCTGAGAGCGAAGTGCTCTGTTAGGATGATAAGGCTCTACGAGGTCTTTAAGATACAATGGAGCCTTGTCATTTTTAGGGAACTATTGGGACATCCTGATAGTAAAGAGTTACAGTAGTCCAGCCTGGAAGTAACAAATGCATGGACCAGTTTTTCAGCATCACTTTGAGACAGGATGCTCCTTATCAGATAACTTAAAAGAAGGAAATACAAGGGACCTGTCCTCGTTTGTACGGCATATCATAATGACACTTTTGACAGCATTATAGTTGACATCGTGACATTCCCCAAACATTGAGCACACGTTCAAGAGCTGCTGAAGACCTGCTGAGCTGGGACTAAAAATCACAAAATCACAATCACAAAAATCTTGACATATAATGGAATGTCAAGACATATAATATGAAATTATAGAAGAGTGAAGCTGACAAAATAGTCTTTATTTATGTTCCAGATTATTGCTGAATCATTTATGGAGCTTTCAGTTGTATCACTGTCTTCCTCAGCAGGTCAAGTCTGTCCAATTGTCATGAAACTGTTCAAACTTTTCTTTAGTTTGAGAACTTTTATGACTTCTCTTTTATGTTGGGTTAAAATGTGATCTCAGTGAAGTTAATTCATCATCTTGAAAAGAGCAGCTGACAAAACAAAATCCACTCAAGGTCCTCTTACTCTGCTTGCTCTGGAGCTTCTGAGAGTATCCTAGACAAGCTCAGTAAGCTCAGGTTTAAGGCTAACATGAACAAGAAATCCAATTTTGTTTCTGCTGATGAAAATCCTGTGATCAAAAGCTCTGCAACAAGCGAGTAAGATGACCTGATGTAGAGGCAGTTTTGTCTGCTGCTGTGTCAATGTCAAGAATGAGCTTTCAAGCTCAAATGGAATAACTTTTTTCTCCTGTTATCTATAATACAGTGCTCACATTTTCCCCTTTTTCAACTTTTCCAACATGGGTGCCTAATAGATGACTAGACCATGATGTACTTATACCCTGTAAACTAAGCACCACCTTTACAGATTAACATAGGCCCATAGAGACAGTCGGTGTGCTTTTTCCATATGTCATTCCCCACAAGAGTAAAAATATTATTCTAGTGCAGCCATTTGTCTTTGTTTTTTACCAAGTGCAGCTGAACCCTGGAAGGGAAACCACTATGTAAGTGTGTGGTATGAGGCCTCTGTGCTTTCGCGCAGTCTTTGCAGAGGTGTAAAGACCATCAACTCTGAAACAGGATATATGAACATGGGAACGCACCCACCAGAATGTCATGGCAATCTCTAATGTTACTTTTATATGCTTTAAACAAATCTCTCCATCTTGCAACAGGAGTCACACAACCATCTGTTCCAAAAAGCTGTGATTAATTTGTATAATAAATTATTAGAACGTTATGTTATATGTTTTTATATATTTTGAATACTTCCTTATACTCACTGCAGAGTTATAGTATTACACATTTTTAAACTGTTAGCTATGAATAATAAAAATGATCTGCCCTATCAAGCCAATATATTCAAGTAGTATTGTACCTGAATTTTCAGGTACTTGAATATTACCATTTCATGCTACTTTACACTTATTTTCTACCCCAATCCAATATTTTATGTTTTATTCCTCTGCATTTATTCATTCATTATAATAGGCTACTGTAACAGTCAAAGGGGAAATTTTACTTCAACAGCATAAAAAAGTACTTTGATAGGCCTACTTCAAGTTGATTTTGTTAATACAAAAGTCAGAGTAGGCCTATTTCGTTAACCACTCATTATAGCCTATAAGAAATAAATGCCTGGAACTTGCATTGAACTCTATTACCCATACAACCTTCCATCAAACACAGTTACAGAAAATATAATTATGGTAAAGGTTCAAAGTTTAAGGATTTTATTGTCATTTCACCATATGTGCAGGACATACAGAAAATCGAAATACCGTTTCTCTCTCACCTAGTATTGGGTGCCATAACATTTAGGAACTAAAATAAAATAAAGTTGAATAAGAATAGAATAGAATAGAATAGAATAAGAACTGGATTGGATAAATCTAAATGGTACAGCCAATAAGCTGTGACTCAAAACCGTGTACAGTCATTGACAGTAGTGCAAACAATAAATGGTCTTATACTTGTATGGCGCTTTTCTATGTTTTACAGCACACTCAAGGCGCTTTAACACTACTTGGCCATTCACCCATTTGCACTCCCAAATTCACACACCGGTGACATCACCGGGAGCAACTGGGGGTTCAGTGTCTTGCTCAAGGACACTTTGACATGTTGACTTGACAAGCCGGGAATTGAACCGCTAATACTCTGGTTAGGAAATGACCCGCTCTACCTCCTGAGCCACAGCCATCCCCAGAGCCACAGCCACAGCCACAATAATAGGAAATTGTCAGATGGTTCAGCAACACCAGGGCGTTGGTGATGAGGTGCAAATAGCACATGAGGTATACATGGACAGTAGTGCAAATGACCAACAGCGGCAGATATCCCGGCAAAAAAACCTGTCAGCAGCAGATTTACATATAACATAACAGATGGTAAAACAGCAGAGGTATTTTTTATTTTGTTTTGTTTCCGCAACAGTCAGCAGCAGATTTACCTGTAATATAACAAAAAGGGGGAATGTATTGAGTTTGTGCAACAGCAGGGGTAGTCTTATGCAGCCAGTAAAACTATATCCGAATATGAATATAGTGGGCAGAGCAGAATATGTCTGTGTATTTGAGGGTTATTCAACGACTATGCATACAGTAGAGTATTAGGACTTTGACGTGGACTAAAAACAGAAGGTGGCAGTAATGCAATATTAAGGACGTCAACTACCCTTAAATCCTAAGAGGAAGAAGAACCTTCCGTCAACGTATTACGTTAGGACGTTCGTCAGAAGGCAGATTTCGACATGGAGGATCTTGTAGCTGTTGAAAAGAGCCCGGTAGGCATTATTGAGGTTATTTCCTGCTGTGAGCTTAAAATGGTCAGAGTTTCTGTGGTAGGTCGATGCAAATATAGCAAATATAGGTTTTGAGAATGGCTGTTTATGGGTGCTTGTTATAATTATTTGCCGTTGTTGGCTCATTAACACTGCCGAAATGTAAACCTGCCAATTCATTCTGCACTCACTGCAGTTGCTATGTCATGCAGGTTAGCCGCTAGCATTAGCATGATGTTTGTATGGCTCCAGACAAGAGATTAATTTGGGTTTTATAAAATGATTTACCGAAGGTTGATGTTAATCAGTTGGAGGGTGTTTTTATTTTTCACCAGTGCGTCGCAGGCGGCTTTAAGTCATTTTTTTTTTATTTTGCGAGTTAGCTTCCTGTGAATGAACCAAGGGCAGCTAAGCCAGCGTTTGTCCCTGGTACAGTTATTGTTTTTATTTGTTAACTGTGTGTTAAGAGTTTTGCTGTCATCTGTTCCTAAGCTGAAAAGAGCCAATACAAATGTCTTTACTCTTTGTTTATGTGGAATATAGTACAACCTCTTCATTGTTGGTTATTTTAAATGTTTTTGTCGCTTTGACAGGACGACATGCCGGCGATTTTGAGTTCCAGACCTCAGACAGGTCTGTCCTTCCTAGCACCAGAACCAGAGGATCTTGAGGATCTTTATAGCAGATACAAGGTCTGATACCTGCTTATACATTTGTGTTAAAACTTATGACCTACCCACAATTTCCAAAGGTGACTATACCAGGCTTTATTTTGTCTTCATGGATAACGAAGATCTGTGGGCTACTTATGGTAATAGGAGATTCTAATAAAGACAAATAAAGTTCCAGTAGCATGGTTCAAACGCGGTAGCGCTCTAGCTGGTGTTCACCCTTCTTTCTTCCCTTCCTTTTGTTGTGTGTTTGCAGAAGCTGCAGCAGGAGCTGGAATTCCTGGAGGTGCAGGAGGAATACATCAAAGATGAACAGAAGAACCTGAAGAAAGAGTTCCTTCATGCCCAGGAGGAGGTGAAGAGGATACAGAGCATCCCACTTGTCATTGGCCAGTTCCTGGAAGCTGTTGACCAGAACACAGCCATCGTTGGCTCTACTACAGGTATGATTAAAAGAAAAAATGGCCTATGCACAGACAAAAAGGTATTCATTATGTTTTTAATATTCATTTTAAATAATAAAAACCCTTGTTCCCTTTTCAGGATCCAACTACTACGTGCGCATCCTGAGCACCATCGACAGAGAGCTGCTGAAGCCCAATGCCTCAGTGGCCTTGCACAAGCACAGCAATGCCCTGGTAGATGTGCTCCCTCCTGAAGCTGACAGCAGCATCATGATGCTGACCTCGGGTAAAACACTCATCACCATCTTCTCCCATGGGTTTCTGGACATGCTTTAAAAGCTTGACAACAAAGATGACCATGGGCATGCCTGAAGACTCAGTTTTTTGTTAGTGTCACAGAAGACTGTACTCATACATTTTTTCTGTCAGACAACCCATTCATTTAAATCTTGATCAGTTAGTGTATTGTATTCATTAAAAATCCACAGACGTAGTTTACTTGATGGTGTTAAAGAAGATCTTAGATCTTGTATAAAGTGCAGTGTGTTTGGAGACAAAAGCTGGTCTAACTTTCCACTGTGTTTTTGCTCCCAGACCAAAAGCCAGATGTGATGTATGCTGACATTGGTGGCATGGACATCCAGAAGCAAGAAGTCAGAGAAGCAGTGGAGCTGCCACTCACACACTTTGAGCTCTACAAACAGGTCAGCTGTTTCCACAGAAATGCGACTTTTCAACATAAACACTGGAAAATATTTGTCTTGAACAATGACAATGTCTTTTTTTATGGACTTGACAATCATTGTTGCAGTGAAAGAAACATCATGGATTTGCTCACTCCTGTACTAGAATAACACTGGTCTATTTACTTTGTTAGATTGGCATCGACCCGCCCAGGGGTGTCCTTATGTATGGACCACCAGGTTGTGGTAAGACCATGTTGGCCAAGGCTGTGGCACACCACACTACAGGTGAGTGGTTGTCACTGCATAGGGCTTAGACCCTCTGTACACAGCTGTTGAATATTTTATGTATTCAGTATGTATGTACAGTGGGTACAGAAAGTGTTCAGACCCCCTTAAATTTTTCACTCTTTATTATATTGCAGCCATATGCTAAAATCATTTAAGCTCAAAAGGGTGCTTCTACTAAACACTGAGCAAAGGGTCTGAATACTTATGACCACTTAAATGATTTTAGCATATGGCTGCAATATAACAAAGAGTGAAAAATTTAAGGGGGTCTGAATACTTTCCGTACCCACTGTATATGTCATTATTTAAAACCACACAGACTAGTACTAAGTAAAAGTGATATCTACAGCAGATAAAGTATTTTAGTTGCTCATTACTGATAAGAAGTACAGTGGTGTGAAAAAGTGTTTGCCCCCTTACTGAAGTTTGTCACACTGTAATGTTTCAGATCATCAAACAAATTTAAATATTAGTCAAAGATAACACAAGTAAACACATCATGCAGTTTTTAAATGAAGGTTTTTATTATTAAGGGAAAACAAAATCCAAAACTATATAGCCCTGTGTGAACAAGTGTTTGCCCCCCTGTCAAAACACTGGTTTATCGCACCTGAGTTCAATTTCTCTAGCCACACCCAGGCCTGATTACTGCCACACCTGTTCGCAATCAAGAAATCACTTAAATAGGACCTGCCTGACAAAGTGAAGTAGACCAAAAGATCCTCAAAAGCTAGACATCATGCCGAGATCCAAAGAAATTCAAAACCAAATGAGAAAGAGAATAATTGAGCTCTATCAGTTTGGAAAAGGTTATAAAGCCATTTCTAAAGCTTTGGGACTGCAGCGAACCACAGTGAGAGCCATTATCCACAAATGGCGAAAACATGGAACAGTGGAGAACCTTCCCAGGAGTGGCCGGCCGACCAAAATTACCCCAAGAGCGCAGCGACAACTCATCCAAGAGGTCACAAAAGACCCCACAACAACATCCAAAGAACTGCAGGCCTCACTTGCCTCAGTTAAGGTGAGTGTTCATGACTCCACCATAAGAAAGAGACTGGGCAACAATGGTTTGCATGGCAGAGTTCCAAGGCGAAAACCACTGCTGAGCAAAAAGAACATAAAGGCTCGTCTCAGTTTTGCCAGAAAACATCTTGATGATCCCCAAGACTTTTGGGATAATACTCTGTGGACAGACGAGACAAAAGTTGAACTTTTTGGAAGGTGTGTGTCCCATTATGTGTGGTGTAAAAGTAACACCGCATTTCAGAAAAAGAACATCATACCAACAGTAAAATATGGTGGTGGTCGTGTGATGGTCTGGGGCTGTTTTGCTGCTTCAGGCCCTGGAAGACTTGCTGTGATAAATGGAACCCTGAATTCTGCTGTGTACCAAAATATCCTGGAGGAGAATGTCCGGCCATCCGTTTGTGATCTCAAGCTGAAGCGAACTTGGGTTCTGCAGCAGGACAATGATCCAAAGCACACCAGCAAGTCCACTTCTGAATGGCTGAAGAAAAACAAAATGAAGACTTTGGAGTGGCCTAGTCAAAGTCCTGACCTGAATCCAATTGAGATGCTGTGGCATGACCTTAAAAAGGCAGTTCATGCCCGAAAACCCTCCAATGTGGCTGACTTACAACAATTCTGCAAAGATGAGTGGGCCAAAATTCCTCCACAGCGCTGTAAAAGACTCATGGCAAGTTATCGGAAACGCTTGATTGCGGTTGTTGCTGCTAAAGGTGGCCCAACCAGTTATTAGGTTTAGGGGACAAACACTTGTTCACACAGGGCTATATAGTTTTGGATTTTGTTTTCCCTTAATAATAAAAACCTTCATTTAAAAACTGCATGATGTGTTTACTTGTGTTATCTTTGACTAATAATTAAAGTGTGACGAACATGCAAAAAGATAAGAAATCAGTAAGGGGGCAAACACTTTTTCACACCACTGTATGCACAGAGAATAGAAAAATGAATATTTTTCTAATTTCTCCATCTCCAGCGGCGTTCATCCGTGTGGTGGGATCTGAGTTTGTTCAGAAGTATTTGGGTGAAGGCCCTCGTATGGTGCGTGATGTTTTCCGGCTGGCAAAAGAGAATGCACCAGCCATCATTTTCATTGATGAGATTGATGCTATTGCCACTAAGCGTTTTGATGCACAGACTGGAGGTAAGAACACGTGGCTCACATGTGGACTTGCATACAAGCCTAACTTGTACTACCCTCTTTATTTGTCCTCGGGTCAAGATTTTTTGTGATTGTATTTGTGTAAATGATAGAAATTTATCCTCTTAACCTTGTTGTTTTCACCTGCAGCTGATAGGGAGGTGCAGAGAATCTTACTTGAGCTGCTTAATCAAATGGATGGCTTTGACCAAAACGTCAATGTCAAGGTAAGTCCACCAGACTCTGGAAGCGCTCAACTTTTCCCCTGTGACTATACCGTTGTTATATGTGCTGGCTCATGGTGCCAGTGACGGTGCACTGTGTGAGCCTTCCCAGCCTTTAAACCCCGGTACCAGCCATCCACTCACTCTGCCATTTTTCAATTTGCCCTGTTTCATTCAGCTTAGAAACAACCTCTAAAGCTTGTGTTGTCATTCTTCAAAACCTTAAATGAGGATGTACATTCATGTGAAGTACTGAGCCGACTTGTCCTTCAGTGTATACAGACAGTGGCTATTTCCCCCCCCCCCTTTTTTTTTTTTTTTTTTTTTTTTTTTTTTTTTGCACACACAGTACAAGTGTCACTGAGAAATGTTAATTGTACAGCTGTAGCTTTGCATTAGGCTGCCTGCTACTCAGCAATCAAAGCAAGTGTAGGTCAGTGTCTGCATTATATTTTCTCCTGTGCACACACACATTTGGTTTTTACTGGCAAAGAGCAATGGCAGTGCAAAGTGCAACATTTCATTAAAAAAATATATGGATTTTAATCCATTGCATATTCTGTGGTTTAGTTTACCAATTTTTTTTGCAGGCAATTTAAAAAGATAGATTTTGGATAGAATAAACACTATACAGTGACACACATTAAATCAAAGCCTGAACAGTTCACGGCCCCAGATACTATGGGTGCATTTGGTCTCACTTCAGCTCATTTGTCTTTCCTTCAGTGAGACCAAATGCACCCATAGTATCTGGGGCAGTGATTTTGCCAATCCTGTAAAACTTGAAACATCCATCACTCACCAGAAGCAAACACTTTATATGGGACCCCATATCAGCTATGTTTACAATTTATCACCATGCTCACATGACCTCAACGGATGTTTGACACCCCAACTCTAGGTGATCATGGCCACCAACAGAGCAGACACACTGGACCCAGCCCTGCTACGTCCTGGTCGTCTGGACAGAAAGATAGAGTTCCCCCTGCCTGACCGCAGGCAGAAACGTCTCATTTTCTCCACCATTACCAGTAAAATGAATCTTTCTGAAGAGGTGGACCTGGAGGACTGTATCCTTTTGTTTCAATAGCTGCATATTTATGTGGTGTGAGTTGGCGTGTGTGTATAATAGGGTGAGAAAAGAACCTTTCCTTCTGTTTGCACCCAAAAGATTTGTCAAACTGTAGTTCCACCACTGAAAAATGCCAAACAAAATGAGAGCACTTGAATTTCCCACCCGTGTACTCTGTGTATGGTATATTTTTTGTTGAAGCCGTTTGTTTCATGGAGATAGCATTTTATTCTTCTATTGCGTCAGTGCTTGTTTCAATGTTAACATGTCACCACATTATTTTCATCATCTTTAACATCAAAAACGGGTATGCAGGGATGCTGACATCACTGTTGACTGGTAACAGTTTTCTGCTGATGCTTCCAAACTCGCTTTATGCCTGACAACAGTGTAGTTGTTTTGAGCTGTTACCCATGCAGACTGACAGATATACAAACAACAAGCTCTAAATCACAAAGACAAAATGAAAACTTTAATCAAAACATACAACAGCTAGTTCATTTGAAATAGAAAAAGTGTTGAGTGCGCCTTACATACACTTTACACTGCATCGTTCCTGTAAACATGATAGGGATACTCAGATATTTTGGCAGCGCTGTGTTGTTCAGTTTTCCTTAGCTGATGCACAGATGTGGCCAGACCAGATAAGGTCTCTGGGGCTGATATAAACTCTATCTGCCAGGAGGTGAGCCAGAGCTTTAACTGTCTTTCTGTTCCATGGAAATGTGTATGCACCAACTAATATATAAATGTTTCCCCCCCTCCCCCCGACATTCATGTTTTTCCTCTGCTCTCTCAGGCTGGCATGTTAGCTGTGCGTGAGAACAGGTACATCGTCCTGGCCAAAGACTTTGAAAAAGCTTACAAGACCGTCATCAAAAAGGACGAGCAGGAGCACGAGTTCTACAAGTAGAGAACATATACTGTACATCCAGGAAAAACCAGGTGTCCAGACACATGCATTTGTTATTGATTTACGTCTGTGTCTGTATTTACAGTGTGTCTTTTGTGGACTTGCAGTCACTGACTTGCATTGATTTTGTTGGACTGAATTTAATCACTGCAACATAAGATCTAATGTCAGATTAGTCCTGTGCCTCCAATCTTGAGAAGACGCGCTACCATGTGATGGAGTGGTTTTTGTATAGGCACTCTTCTGGATCCTGGAGCTAGCTAGGATAGAACATTTGTATCTCTATGTACTCTCTCAATAAGACATTACTTTAAAAAAACCCATTAAAGATGTTTTTCATAAAAAAAAACAAAAACAAAACCCTAAATGGTGGTCATCGTTTTTCTACCTTGAAAAATATATTTTACTGGAAGATTTGATTTTGATTTGATTTGTTCATTCAAGCATGTAAAACAGTTGATATGTCAACACATGTAATTTCACACATATCCAACAATAATAATCCAATATCAATTTACTTATACCTAGTACATGCTTGAACAGAGTAGGAAGAAGTTAGACTTATCTAGTCCTACCCCATGACATCATCTTACAACTTTTAAGTCCTAAGCAATATCTCTACATAGATAATTATCCTCTACACCACACAAGTAATGTACTAAAGAATTATTACAGAGTGTTCACATTTTACATAATTACATTCATAGATAATTATCTATGACGCCACACAAGTAATATACTAAAGTATTATTACAGAGTGTTAACATTCTTACCCCACACCCACAATGTTCCATCTGATTAATCATTAAACCTGTTCTTGCATATATCTTGATTGACACATACCTTTATGTTTAAACTCATCAATTCTAGTACTATTTTTTTATGTCCACATTTAAATGATTCCATAGTTTTACACCACTTATGGAAACACAATCTTTTTTTGGTTGTACGTATAGCATGAATTTTTAAGTTTAACTGACCCCTTAAAAGATATTTACAGATGATAAAACTTGCACCAGTGAGGTTTTTTTCACAGCAGTTGTGATTACAGGCGTAACTATTGAAAAAAAGTTGACTGACAAATTTAAGCAGCTATTCACATCAATCGATTAAAGCATTTAAGTAAGTAAAAATTCCCTGATTTGAGATTCTAAAATGTGAATACTGGCTTATTTTCTTAACTCTTATTAAGTTGGTTGGTCAGACAAAACAGTCTGAAGATGTCAGTTGAGGTTTACTTTTTTCCCCAACATCTGAGAATTTATGGACCAAATGATTGAGAAACTAATCAACAGATTGATAATAAAAACCGATAAAGCCAGTGGTGTCTGACTTAGAGTAGTTGCAATCATTGAGTTTTGGGTGTAGCAATTACATCAGCTGTAAGACTATAGTTGCTTTGCCTGACCTTTATCCACACCTTCTTCACACTGGGTGCCTTTTCCTGCCAGAAAAATGTTCTGTCGAGAAATGTTGCAGCATGTTGACAACACCTACTCAGAATTTGTTGCCCAACATTTTGAGGCAGTGAGTGTGGGAAAGGTTGGCTTAAGGGTGGAATTGATTACTTGAATAAAATCTGTGTGATTAAAATTGGTATTAACTTGAAACATATTTGTCAAAAATCAGCCATATCTGCTAGGCACATGTTTTTTATATATATATATATATATATACTGGTATCATTACAACATCAGACATAATGCTCAGCATTCATGTTGATAATTTAGATGTTTATTTAAAAGCTGTGAGACAAAACCTAAGGTGGATGGCAGTTAGCAGTGGTCGCCATACATCAGTTGAATGTACTGTTCTGTGGATATACTCCTGCGAGTAGTTAGATCTTGGAGCTGACAAAGTCGACTTAAATAGATGCCAGTGCTGAACCATGCTTCTTGGGTAGGCCTTAAATGCCGTCCTCCATGCTTCTCAATAGTCCTCTGGTGTTCTTGTTTTAAGCCCACCCATGAGTCGAAGCAGCGCAGCCTCAGGTTGTAGCTCTCCCTTCAGGCCACAATAACATCCCAGCTGCAGTATTAGTAAAACAAAAACACACCAAGCTACACTGCACACAACTTTGTCCAGTAATACTTTAGATGGGTGATGGACTGAGTCCCTTGAGGAAGTGATTTATATTTATTGTAATATTTGAGCTGAATGAAAGGACATTAGTGACTATTTTGATAAGAAATTTAAGCTCTGCCTGGTGGTACAAAAGCAGTCGTTGGTTTCACGGAAGTTTGGAAACCATGAGAATATGCCATGGTATAGAAATTATATAGGAAAGTAGTGGTACTCACTTGTGTTTCACTTCGTCTCTGTGAGGAAGACTGTAAGTGACCTGGTCAAAGTAGTAGGGACATAGTCGCAGGGTTGCCAGTTCTGGCTGGCAGGACAGCCTGGCAAAGATTTGATCAAGCCTGTGGCATGGTCCAAAATACTGTCCAGGGAAGAGTCTGTACCACAATGCTGCCACCAGTGCATCCATGCTGGTTTGAGCTGCTGAGAGCTTGAAAGGATATAGCTGGTACAGAGGTGGTTGGACTGCCATTTTATTTAACTCTGTCCTTGCAAAAACACAAGCAATATCAAATCCAGAGCACTGGCAACTAGAGTTGTTTTTGGCGGCCTGTTTCAATTTTAGTTTTAGTCTAGCCTTTGTGTGAAGCTGTCATTTTAGTTTTTATTAGTTTTAGTCACGTTCATACTCTTATTAGTCTAGTTTTAGTCGATGAAAATTGTATTTTAGTCTCTTTTTAGTAATGCTGCTCTATTTAACCCAGTCAATATAGTATAAGTACCTAGTAGTATAGAGGAAACCAAAAGTTTCTTTTAGCCAAACCCATTTCAAACAAGGTTATCTTATTATATTATTGTTACCTTATAGACTCAAGGATACATCCAATACACATTTTGTGTGATTTCGTCTCGTCATGGTCAACGAAAATGAAGACATTTTGGGATAGTTTTTATTTTGTGAACCACATTTAGTCTCGGTTATTTTTGTCAACGATATTGCATTATACATTTAGTTATAGTCATCGTCACACGACCAGCATTTTCGTTGTGTCTCGTCTCGTTTTCGTCACACGGTAAAGGTTCGTTGACGACATTTAGTCATAATTTTTGTTGACGAAAGCAACACTACTGGCAACCAGAGTAAAAACTGTTTGTTGATAATTTCATCTTATTACACATACAGTATTTCTGTTTTTTAATTATAAAATTGGCACTTGCTTTTGAAAGCAAGTATGTAAGCATATTATAATTAAGATGAAATTCATAAAAAGTAAATAATTGTTACATACCTAGATGAAATGTAATGTCCTGTATGAAATGTGCAGTTTTTGTTTGCTTTTAAAGTTTTGCACAGTTCTAGAACTTATTAGTTTTTAAACAATATCAGAATACACCAATCAGCCATAACATTATGACCACCTGCCTCATACTGTTTACATAGGAGTCAATGTGGCAGTTTGTTGGCACTCGTGTCACGCTGCAGCTCACTGTGCATCTTCTGTGAATCCATTTGCTTCCACAGTTATACTCTTAGGACGAGCACAGATGTGTCTACAATTCAGTGGAAAACTCATGTAAAAGGAGTGAAAGCTGTGGTCATGAGGACGAGTTAGAGAGAATTTTTTTACACCAATTCAACAGCCTCACCACTCTAGGTGTGACAGAGACCGGACTCTTTCTCTTCATAGAGACCAATGTACAGTATTTCTAATTTTCAACCATTTAATGGAAGTTAAAAGTATAATCTACAGTAGGTCAACCTCATCATCCATGAGCCGTGGGTGTCCATGACCCTGTCACCATTTCACCGTCTGTCCTTCTTTAGACACCGTTGGTAGGTACTAACAACTGCAGACCAACAACACCCACCAAGACCTGCAGTGTGGGAGACGCTCTCACCCAGTCATCTCACCATCATAGCTTGGCCCTTGTCAAAGTCACTCAGATCCTTTACACATGTCCTTTTTCCTGCTTCCAATGCATTAACTTTGAGGACTGAATGTTCACTTGCTGCCTAATATACCCCACACACTGACAGGTGCCACTGTAACAGATAGTCAGTGTTATTCACTTCACCTCTGTGTTCATAATCAGACCATGGGGCCCAAAACTATTTTATAACCTGCAACATATTTTTTTTTTTTTGGTGAATGTGACACGACCAGTTAAACCTATAGGCCCAGTCATCTTTTGTTTGCTGAAAGTTGTGAACAACAGCAAAGGATCAATTGTTTGGTTTTCACCAGAGTGGATTGAAAAGGATTTTATCTGAAGGGGCTCTGGTCATCACTGAAATGCCAAATTCTGGAGCCAGTCCCAGATGACTTTGGGTGAGAGGTGGGGTACACCCTGAACAGGTTGTCAGTTTATCACAAGGCTGACATATGTAGATAAACTCTCACCTACTAATGTTACTGTAGTTTATTAAGGATAAGGATAATCTTTATTTGGCCAAGCATGTTACACACACAAGGAATTTGTTTCCGGTACAGAACCGAGGAAGCCATCTGTGGCACCAAATCACACCGATGGCTATAACCATCAGGGGAAACTTGGGGGTTCAGTGTCTTGTCCAAGGACACTTCAACATGTGGACTGCAGGCTCCGTGAATCGAACCTCCAGCCCTCCGGTTGGGAGATGACTGCTCTACCCACTGAACCACAGTCAGTGAAATAGTACCACTATCTCCACAGCCAAACTACTACTAATGCAATTATCATCACCACCATCATCATGAGCCATCCACCTTTATTATGGACACAGTCATGGACAGATTATGAGACAATAGGCCCTTGGGCGTAGACATGTAAAAAACCTCTAACCCTCACAGATTGACTTGTGATAATTTATACTCATTTTGCATCTTATTGTAGTAGTTTTGAACATACTTTTACTTGTTTTATGTCTACTGTTTAGATGTCTTACATCTGTTTTGTGTGTGTTTTTGTTGTTTTGCATATTTTGTAGTTGTTTGATATCTTTGGGGTTGTTTCAGTCATTTTTATCACTTGAGTGGTTTTGTTCCTCTTTGTAGTTGTTTTGCATTTGTTTTCTTCATTTTGTGGCTTTTTGTAGTTGCTTTGTAGACATTTGATTGAGTTTCCAAGAGAAAGGTTAACAGTACTTTCAGTATTCCCTGAGCCCCTCTGACCCCTTGGGCCCCTGGACCTGTGACCGGTCTAACATCCATATATAGTGACCGGGAGTCCATAGAATAAAAAAAGAGGGCTTACAATAAATACAAAATACAATTAATACAAAAACAGATCAAATGAATACACTAAAACTACTACATAGATACTACTAGAACAGCCACCCATAAAAGTGTTAATAATTAACGCGTGTACAAAAGCGAATGTGTGGTTATTCTTTTGGAGAGTACAAAGTGTAGGTTCAGATTTCCATTGAAGGGGAGGAGAAAGGTGCGACATCGACTCTGCTGATTCGCTCTTCGAAAGTAGTGGCCACAGCTTATTATAGCGTTCACACACCATCAACTTAAACATATCGGAAATACAGAGAAGCGAGGGTGTTGTTGAGAATATCGACGACAAACAGCTCTTTACCCAGCCCTGAAACAGAAGCAGCCCCTGTGGTAAGAATGAACAGTCATGTAACGTTATACTGATAACCCACATTGATAACAGCACTGTGTATATTCTTATGTGGTGGAAAGCTAACGTTAGCTAGCCTGCTAACCAATGTCAGTTAACCCGCAGTGGCTAGCTCGGCTCCCTCTGGCTCGTCTTTTCCCGTTACTTGGAGGTTGTGAGAACACTAATGCTATCTTGTTTACAGGATTATTGGTTTAAAAGTGTTGTTTAATTAACCTGTCTCTTGCTTTGAGTAGCTAGTTAAATGTGTCCAGTTACACAACAGCTGAAACTTGACGGTAGTGTTAGCAGTAGTGAAACTAAAACCCTTAGTGATACAAAACGCGGTAAAGAATAACTATAATAAACTGCTTAAGCTAAACGTCTGTTTGTTTACACGCTGGTCAAAACAACTGAAAGACAAGTTTTATCTGGCTTTTGTTCGAAATGATTCATTTTACTTAACAGAAGAGTTGCTACACACCCGACATTTATCGAGCTAATGTTAGTCTATTGTTTGAAGAATTCATTGCAACTTTTCATGAACAAAACATTTGAAAGTTTAATTGCCTGTCACGTCAGCGTCATTGCTAAACTCCCAAAAGCGATACAAAAACTTTGTAACGAGTTGCACAAGAATTGGCGAACAACTCCCTTTATTAATAGCCAAATACTCGTTAAAGGTAAGATGTTAGGTAGTGCTGAAAATGTTCATTGTTTAAAGCAGTTTCATGTTACTTTATGACAGGAGTCGCTTTACTTCCAACAGATAGTTTTTCAACTTCTAGCTAACGTCTATTCGTTCTTCATATTCTCCTATATCCCCAAGGCAGCAGAACAAAAGGCTCTGCATGGAGTCCCCTCCTCTGAACTTCATTCGTAGCTGGTGGCAAAGAATTACCCTGATCACATAAACATCAACAAGATATAAGGGTCTAACTGGGTGTAACTTCTTGGTTAAACGTCACATCAACCCTAACCCTGTCACAAGATATACATATTTATGAAAGATATACATATTTATGAAAAACATTTCTTAGAGCAATGTGTAAGATGATACAATAATATTGTAAGATGTATATCTTGTGACAGGGTTAGGTCATTGGTGTTTGTATTACAATATTATTGTATCATCTTACACATTGCTCTAAGAAATGTTTTTCATAAATGACAGTTTTATGACAACTCACTCATGTGACTCAGTTAAAAACTGTCAAACAACTATCACATGCTACTGGAGCCCAAAATTACAATATGTCTTAAAATTACTAAATAAAAACTATTTAGTTTGGTGTAAGTATATTTTTTGAGCCATACCATGGCACCTCGCTCAGTTTAGGTTGGGCCAAATGTTATATAAAATCTTTAATATCCAAATTAAAGATATCACATTATTGATAATGAGATTCTAAAATAAATATTTTTTTTTTTGATACAATATCAAACTTTAAATCATTTTTTCAGACTGGATAATATCAGTTGTAATTGTTTGTATTAGCTGTAAGTATTATTTTAATAGGTTAAATGTGAGAAGATCCGTGGCACCAGCTCTCGTCTTTCGTGTGTAGCTTGTTGCTCCAGTTTGTTTGGGTTTTAGGTCCACATGGAGATTTTCTTGTCTCCATGGTTGCCAGTGCTATCTTTGCAACCCACTGGAAATTACTGTAATGAGATAATTGACTGTCCCTAATGGGTTGGATAAAGTCTGAGGTTAGTGATACTCTGTTTGCAAGGGCAGAAAAATGAGAACAAAAAAAGTGGGAGGAAAGAGGAGAGTGATGTGATGATTTTTCCCCTCTGTTCAGCAGTCTGGCCCAATGGAATCAGACTTGAGGGAGCAGCCATAGAGACATGCACCAGCTGCACCCACAATGAATGGCCAGGGCTCAGGATGGGTTGCCATGACAAGGGCACTGGCACACGTTGTTATGCAGACGTTTCTTTTCTCAGGGCACGTTTGCACATTGTTTCATTGCCTGGTATTGCATGGTCAATGCTTCAGCTTACACTCATCAGTTCTCACCGTATGGGCTTTAAGGAAGGACAGACCAGTTTTCCAGCTGTGGATACAGCCAGTCCCTAGCTGTTTCTGTTAAGGCGATGGTTTTCTGTGTAAATACACATAGGGTAATGTTCCTCACATTTTCATTCAGGCATACCTATGACTGTGATGGAGAGAAAGCCACAGTACTTGCATGATTGGACAACACACCAAATGAAGTATAATGTATGAGGCCTGAGTTTTCTTACTGCAACATGGTGAACGAAACTGGGTGTGTCCAAGGAGAATTTTATCTTCATGTTATTGCTGTTAAGGGCATTCTCCAAAACAGTCATGTTTTTAGTGAACTGAGCAACTCACAAAGATATGAGAGACATGCACAGGCACCTAGATTATCGTGATTGGTCTGCCCACTATACGTGACAATATCCTACATCAGTAGGATGTGATTATCTTGTATTCGTCTATCTATTGGTGTTGATTACAGAGCTGGGCAATTTTCACTGAGGCCAACATTAGGGCAAAGTATGTAAATACTTTCATTCCAGGCTTTGTATAATGACTCTGCTCTGAGTCAGATGTCAGTGTGTGTGTACCATCTTAAGTCACACAGAACAGTACACGGACACTTGAGGCAACAGGATGTGGTACAGTTGTCAGAATAAACGTATTCTTTAACGATGTCTTTAGGATCATTGACAAATGCATGCCAGTGTCTAGTGCTTTTTGATAAAATAGGCTTGTTTTTTTCACTTTAATATTATTACTAACATTGCTTTGTGCATTTTCACTGCATATTCATTTTCTGTAGACACTTTCTCCGTACCTCTCTTCTTATTACCTCCTTATTACATGTTGCCTCTTTTCTGAATAATCCCATTTTCTTACTGTTTTTTTATGAAAATGACTGCTTTGCCCATGTGTTTCAAACATTTTAAATTGAACAGACAAAATATAAATATAATGGAGTCTAATAATATATGCCAAACAAAAAATACAATGCTAACATCAACTCCTCTGTTACCCAGCTGTTTCAACCATGACATTGTACATTTTCCTGTTGGTTGGTGTCAGGGTCTATATGCTGGCTTTGGCAGTCTAGAATTAGGTCAGATTTTAGACTTGTCTTAAATTCATTGCATGCAATTGATGGTTCCACTGAGACCTTAAAACATAATGAGAAACCAAACTGCCACTATTGTTATCTGAGTTTTGTCGTTTTATGTCGGCTTTAAAACAATCTGAACAGGTCACACTGACTAACTCCTTATTTGCATTCAAAGAGTCTGAATGACTGAGCTTTGGGCAGGACATGAAATGAATTCAGAAAAAAACTCTACAGGCTGTTTTCTCAAATAAAATCCTATCTTAAACTTTTGGAATTTCAGATTGAAATTTCTTAGCCTCTTTAACCTCTGAGACGACTCAGATTATTTATTCAAAGAAAACAGCAGTTCAGTCCAAACAGTTACAGCTGTCTTTTCCATCTCAGCTCTCCCTGCAGTCTTTAGCAGCCACAGATCTGGACATTACACCACCTGACTGTCTCATTTCTCATTTGATTAATTCTTATTCTCCAGTAGCAGATACACATTAATAAAATCATTTGCAGCTGTCCGAGTTCAGTCTCAGTCTACAGCATATGCAACTGAATATAGAGTTTAATCTTACAAAATGTATAGAAATGTAAATGGTGGAATTTTATGGATTTTCCCTCTACTAACAGTAGGGTTTACCAGATTTAACAGGAAAGTCACACATTTAAGACTAAAGACTAAAGTGCTGGCTCATCCTCAGTGGGTTGTCACATATAAAACTGATGACACTCTCAGGCAGATGTGATCAATCATCCTCTAATTCAGAGCTTTACTTTGTGCTTCATTGGGGTTAAGGCCTTTACCAGAAAGTGATGGCTAATCTAAGTTTGTCATAAGATTTTCTAGCCTCTGGGTTTTTTTTTCTGCTTTTTGGTAAAAATCTGTGCACAAGTGTCAAGTATTTTTTTTTATCTTTTTTTTTTGTCTTTATAATTGGCCTTAGTAAATTGTCCTTTTTGCTTTACAGGTGGTGGTTACCCCAGAGGACTAAGGTAGTCCATACGTCATAGCTTTTCTTTCCTTTTTATATAGTAACACAGTCAAAACACTGCTTTGAAGGTAGTTGCAGTCTGTTTTTAATAATAAAATAGCATGTACTGAAGCAAGGATGTGTCTGTGATGTGAACCAGCTGTGCCTGGAATTCCTGGCTCAGATAATAACCAACTGTAAAATGACCCATGACAGGTAATAAATGACTGTTGCTGTTGAAAATATGAGGGAATGGAAAAAAGAAACGTGGCCCAGCACTAATATAAGCTCAGTAGGAAAGTCTGGTTAGGTAAACCTCCTCTGTGGTTACCCCCACGGTGGCTTAGTCTGGTTCTTGATTATCTTCCTCTGGGGCTGTCAGTGGGTTGTCCATGAGTTTTTTTGCCATCCCTTCAGGATTTGAACAGCAGTGCTGACAGTAGGCTCCCTTGATGATGATCTAAATATACCTCAAACTCCTATAATTCCACTTTTATTTTTTCTTCTGTTGTCCATTCTAACCCCTGTGCTAGCCATTTTGGCTCCTTTTGCATGTGTGTGAATATGCCTCATGTATGCAAGATTAATGTCCCATTGGCTGAAAAGGAAAAAGTCCCATTTGCCAGTTTTAATGTGCCATCACATACACGCATTGCACAATGAAGTAAAAAAAAATAACAGGAGAGCAGGGGTGATGGGAATAAGATAAGAAAGGGCTTGCTTTGGTATGCTGGAGTATGTTATATCATGCCAAAATGGCTTCTTCTTAAATTCTGACTGTAGAGAGAAGGGGTATGCATGCAAAAGAGACATTGAAGTCAAAAGCACATAGTGTAATCAGACTGTTGGCTGCTCTTCCTCTCCCCCTCCAGCTCCTCTTGGTTTACTTTGTCCTTCTCTTTTTGGTTCACTCCTTATCCTCAGGCTTTTAAGTCACACAGAAGGATTTGGATAAATCTAGTCACTGGATCTCTTTTATATGCATGTTTAGTCAGTGCCTGTGCTTTGCAGAAGGGGGTTTCTTCTGCCAAGTTCTCTCACTGTATAAGCTAGTCCAAGCACAATGTGGCCCTCAAACACTAGAGCACAGCCATTTCTACCTTTGGTGAAGACATTTGTATATGTCATTACAGATGAATATGATACTGCAGTATGGGAGAATTGAAAGAGGGTGTAAATTTGAATTCTGTCCCGGGGGATTAGGGGGTTTGTTGTCATCCTAATTCATGTAGCAGTCCAAACTTGCGCACCACATTGAGCTTCCCACCCATGTTGGTCCTTAAAACCTGCATGGTTTAATCATTATTATTAATCTGAGTGAGCATGAAAGAGCATCAGACGGTTAGTAAAATGTTTTGACAGCAGTCGGCTGACCAAGCAAAATGCTGAAATGCATGAACAGTACAGTTTAGCAGGCAGGATTTTGTCAGATGCCATCAACATATCTGTGTCGGACTAGCTGAATGTTTCAGTCGTAGCAACCTGGGCTGTAGGCTTAACCATTTTCTGTTAGGTATTATTATGTCTAATGTATTATCCATATGGTCAGTTATTAAACTACAATGCATTGCAGACCATTTTTTAAACTATACATTAACATAATATGGAGGAAAGTGACTTTTTATAAATTATAAAGACTAATAAGTGTTGGCAGTATTGCCAAAAATATTGTCAAACTTTGTTTTTCAATCACTATATATTTAATAGGAATTTAAGCATCAAGTTACTTGAATTACAAACTCAACTGAACAAAATAATGACTTCACTTAAAATTGCAGAGCTTACACCAATTGGCCTGGCAAAATTTAGATAATAAACAGAGTAACCAATGCTGCACAACTCCAGGCTTCATTGAAGAATATACACAAGATCAAACTTAATGTGTTGGACATCAAACTTATAACTAAGACCATTTCTTCCTGTTCCAAAAGATGCATAGCCTTCATTAGTAGGTATGAAACAGGTTATTCTCCCCCCAGCAGACTTCGTTTTTTCTGGTTTTATAAAAGATAGTACACAGGCTAGTGGTTAAGGCGCAGCGTTCTCGCCGCGGTGCCCTGGGTGCGAATCCAGGTTGCATCAGGAAGGGCATCCGGCGTAAAACACGTGCCGAATGTCAGCATGCGAGTCGGCAGTGTGACAATTCGCTGTGGCGACCCCTAAACGGGAAAAGCCGAAAGTGACTTTCTTTCTATAAAAGTGCACATACTGTACGTCACTACATGATGGGAGTGACTTGTGTATTGTATGGTTTTAGACCTTTCTTTTGGTGCAGCAAAATTAAACAACTGGGAAGGAAGTCTAAGCTATGAAATCAGTAATGGTATGTGTAGGTGGGAGGTCGGCAGCTGCTCTTGTTATTTTAACTATTTTTTTTTTTCCCCTTTTCTCTCTCTACCTGTCACTAAACTGGTCTTGTAGCATTGATTGGGATTAGGATTAGTGGTCTGAGGCTGGCTACTTTAACAAGCACTAATTGATTTCCAAGTAAGAATGTGTTGGATAATGCAGCAGAGCAGGGCTAGGGCTTATGCAGATCGGCGCAAACAGCATTGCAGTGACCTATAGCAACAGGGCCATTGAGTTTGTTGGCTTTTCTGTTAGGAAGTTGGATCCACATGGCAGTGATGGGGGAGACATCTGCACTGAATTAGTCAATGATTTCCAACTGTGCTGTTGAGTTTCCATCAAAACATACACAATTCATTTCCTGGGCTTGTATTGCACACTGTCATTGTTTTTATGTGAAAACCATTATGGTCTAAGCACAAAATCAGTGATATTAGCAATTTAAACTAAAGGGTGTCCCCTCTCCTCTGTTTTTTGTCTTTCAGAGCCATGCTGGACTGATTGGTCCGATTCCTGTCCATCCAGTGAGTCTAGAGGCTGTTGGCCCAGTGAACTGCTTAGAGCTGTGGATTGCATATGGGACAATAGCAGTGGGACTCAAAACTCTGTCCTCCTCCACATTTCCTTTTCTCTCAGCCTGACTCTCCACTGAAACCCTCCCCCCTACAATTATACAGTCACATACTCAAACACAGGCCCACACTGGTCACGGTCCACTCCCCCCTTCTCTCCAGCCAGTCAGGCAGTGAGTCGATGGAAGGCGTGTAATCCTCTGTAAAGTATAGGCCCTTTATGGTGGCATATGCTCCTTTTTGTCATGGCGGCTGTTGTTGCAGAGGCCTCCCTCAGGACTGAACATGAGGGAGAACAGAAGGCAGCATAAAGGTCACAAAGAGAGGAAGAGACAGTGAGTGGGAGACACTGATGCTGCCATTTATTTGACTGGATGAGAATGAGCTTCACAGGGCAATGGATGGAAAGCACCAGAGGTGAAACTACATGATGTGGGACTGGTATTATCACCCCACAACAGTTACGAATTGGACCAGCAGTCAACTTTGGAGAAATTTACCACAAACTGACCTGCAGCAAGGAATGCTGTGAAAATTATATATTTGAATAAGACTTTTCCCCTTATTTTAGAATATTTTTCTATTTCCCCCTCCTCTTGGTAGACTCTTTCCATTACAGCTGACCAAAAGTGCCTTTTTTGTTTTACTTTAGTTTGTTTACTCATCTCACTTCATATTGAAATTCCATATCTTCACAGATTATAGCGAGTAACTCGACTTAAAGTAGCTGCTACATTCAATATGTGATGCCATATTTTAGAAAAGGTACAGCCACAACACCAACAACTATCAAATAGACAGTTCAGTCATCACTATTGTGAATTTTGTTTCTACTTGAGAAGCATTAACTTACACCCAGCCCTAAATCACTGAGCATCAAGTTGCCCAAGACCACCGGGACGTCCTGCACTGCCTCTTCCGACCCTCTATTGTTTTGACGTCTTACAGCTGTCACCATGATCAGTATCCAGTCCAAATGGCGCTACCTTTTCATGTTCCTGGGCATCCAGCTGGTGGTCATGGCGCTGCTGTCTCGAGAGGGATACCAGAAGAGGGTCACCTATTTCATCCGCATCTTCCGCAAGCCTGACACCACTGGTGTGTCAGGCCGCAACCACACGTCAGCTGGTGTCATCGGAGGCGATGTGTATGCCAACCTCTCCCACCTCTCCAAAGCTCTTAGCCATGGAGATGGCATGCCCTACTGCCCTAAGACATCCCCTTTGACAGGTGAGTAATCTTGCTATTTCTGCTTCACTCCATAGTGCACATCAGTGCCTTAGTATCTGTCTCATTCTTTAAACACAGCATTGATCTATGAACAGAAGCAGGTTTGCCCAATAGTATATTATTTTTAATATTTGTCAGGAGTTACAGATGGCAGCACAGTGTCCTCCTGTGAATATAAAGTCCCTCTTTAGTCAAGAGTTTATTGTAAAAGTTGGTGGCTTTGGTTACCTACTTATCCATTTTGCTGTCATGCTGTGTCTGCTGTTGTATAGGGGCACCTTTTATTTAGGGTCGTTTTTTTTTTGTTTGTTTGTTTTTTTTCCTACTTCAGGTGTGTCCTATATTTTTATGCACTTTGGAATTGGTTTGGTTTTTCTACTTTCCCAAAAGGCTTCAGTTTGAGTCAGCATGTTAAGACGTTGACTCTTGTTCAGTAGAGTTGAAAGGGAACTTAAATGGGTCACAGTGTTTCTTACATTTCCTTTTAGAACTACAAATCTGACCAATGTATACAGTATTGTTCAAAATAATAGCAGTACAAGTTGGTTGACTCCATGCCACACAGATGTGAAGCAGTTATAAAAAAACTGTGGTCATACAACTAAATATTAGTTTAGTGATTCACAGGATTACTAAATCCTAGAAACAACAACGTTTGTACAAAATAGTTTTGTGTTTGTACAGTCAACGGCAGACACTGCTATTTTTTTGAACACACCCCTTTCAACTAATTGCCCAATTGCACAGCCTTAAGAGCGTGCATATCATGAATGCTGGGTCTTGTTTGCTTTCTGAGAATCTACTGCACCTACTGGTAACTTGTTTGCCATGTAGCAATAAAAAATATACTAAAAACCTGGATTATTCTGGTTAGTCACATTGTACTGCTATTATTTTGAACAATACTGTAAGTTCAGTTTGTGGGACGTAGTGCTATTAGGAATAGAGTCATTCAAAATCAGCTGCTGGCTGGTGATTGGTGGTGGTGGTGTTCTGTTGTAGGTTTCATCACTACTTTCTCTAATATGTTTTGTAATGCTTCCGTCTATGAAATGGCAGATGGTGCATACATGATATATATTTTCAGTTCAATTTTATTTGTATAGCACCAAATCACAACAAAAGTCATCTGTTCAAGCTTTCAAACTGAGTCTTATCCCAGTTAATGTTTATTCTGTCTAAGTAGAATGCATTGTCAAAGCAGGCTTAGTTTTGTTGCTTTTTGTGGGTTAACAATCCAAATAGATGGTGACAGTTTTTGTACTGTGAGCACCAAATGCTTCATTCTGTCCATTCAAATCATAGGCTCTCATACTCTAACCAGATTATTTGCCTTCACTCTATATCCTGTTTCCTACAGGTAATGACAGCAGACTGATTTCTGTTCACAGGTGGGCCGATCCACATCAGCTTCCCATCAGGGCTCACTATATCAGAGGTGCAGAGGAAAAATCCGCTGGTGGTACGCGGAGGACGCTATAGGCCGCCGGGCTGTGAGGCAAGGCACCGAACAGCCATTGTCATTCCCCACAGACAAAGAGAACACCACCTGAAGTTTCTGCTATACTATCTGCATCCTTTTCTGCAGAGACAACAGCTCAGCTATGGGATTTATGTCATTCACCAGGTGAAACTCACTCCACTAAGTCATATATTTTACACTAAAGGAAGATTCATAAAGGAGGGATTTAAGTAATACTTTGCTTCTTGTTTTTGTAATTATAAGTTTCACATTTGGCAGAAACATAAGGTTGTTTTCTAATATTTAAAATCATTTCTTTAATTTGCTCTGTATGCGCTGTGTGTAGTTTCCTTTGGTACCAACTACAGTTCAGTTCAATTCAGTTCAGCTTTTATTTGTATAGTGCCAAATTACACACACAAAATAATCTCAAGAGTTTTCCTCTTTATATAGAGGAAAAACCCAACAATACCTATTGTTGAGTCATGCTTTGTATGATTTGTCTTGTCTTTTCTTAGCAAATACCTACAAAAAAAAGACTGCTGCATTTTTAGGATGAATCAAGAAATGAACATCTGACCAAGACCTGAAGATATGATGCATGATGAGCACAATATCTATTTAATTTAATGTTGTTTAATCGCTTGAGCTTTTTAAAATTGTGATAACATGATGCATGTTTGTTGACTAAAATAAAATTATGAAGCCATTTTTTCCCTAAGTTTTTAAAAATACTACTTATCAATGAATCTGTTTCAGCTTGATTTTCCTCAGCATGTCAGCCTGTGTTAATGTACAGGACATTTTGTTGTTAAACAGTATATTCAGAAGGTTTGCTAGTTCATGGATGTTAATGAATATTTCAGCATTATTTTACTGGTTTGTAATTTCCAGACAGTTTCCTCAGATGCTTCCAGGAAAGTACAATATGATTAAGTAAAAAATGGAGACAATGGTAATAGTACACTTCCTGTTAATTACTGCTAATGAATTGCTTGTGTGATGTAGAGACTTTTAGTCAGTGATCAGCAGGTCAGTTAAATAGCATATTTGAAATATGACTGAACATAAACATATAATTTAACACATATCATAAATAGGTTCTAGAGAGTAAAAGAATATTGAATGATTATTTTATTGGTTTTGCACCACAGGCTGGAAACTACACTTTTAACAGAGCCAAGCTGATGAACGTTGGATTCCGGGAAGCCATGAGGGAAGAAGACTGGGACTGTCTCTTCTTCCATGATGTGGACCTCATTCCAGAGGACGATCGCAACTTGTACACTTGCGACACCAACCCCAAGCATGCAGCCATTGCCATGGACAAGTTTGGTTACAAGTATGTCCTTTCTTCTCTGTGAATGAAGGGTTGGCTCATTGCACATACTTAACTTTGTTTCTGTGATTGTTATTGCCTTCCAGGCTTCCGTACAAGATGTACTTTGGAGGAGTGTCAGCTCTGACGCCACTTCACTACCTCAAAATGAACGGCTTTCCCAACAACTACTGGGGCTGGGGTGGAGAGGATGATGATATTGGAGTCAGGTGAGAATAATTTAGCCTGGATGCTCTTTAGGATGAGCGGTCCTACTGTGGAAATAATGCACCTGTAGCCAGTCCGACACTGACACTGTTTGATTTAAGGCTGAGCTCACTGCCTGGTGGAGAAGTTGGAATTTTTTTTTTTTTGTAGATCACTTGATGGCATTGATACTAAACCCTAATCAAGCTGTTTATATTGCCATAAAACGTACAGGTCATTCAGTAGAGACACAAACTAGTTTTAAAACTGTGGCTGTGCCTCGAGCAGCTGCTACTTATGTCATGAACACAGAGTACTGTAGATCAGGCTTAAAAAGTTTATAGGAAAATCAGCAACTTCCAACTTTATTATAGATGCAGGATCAATAGTTTAGTTTGTTGTTTTAGTTGATGTTCTCTTGAACCAAATTAAGTGTGAAAGGATGATGTTTCTCTTCTTTTCAGAGTATCTTTGGCAGGGATGTATATCACTCGTCCGTCGCTGAAGGTTGGCCGTTACAAGATGATTAAACACAAGCTGGACAAAGGAAATGATGTGAACCCGAAGAGGTACAGTAAACGCATCGCACATTTGATTTTACGTTGCCTGCAGAAATTTGGGAAACAAACTGCAGCTTGATCTTAGCAGAAATAATACTTATAATACTTGCAGTGTTTTTGTTTTTAACTGTAGAAGTAAAGTATAAAGTTATGCTTAAGTATTCACTGCTCAGTCTTTGTTCTCCATCATAAGGTTCAGTATGCTGGCCAAGACGCGTCAGACCTGGAAAATGGATGGCATGAACACAGTAGAATATGAGATCATTTCACGACAGTACCTGCCCCTCTACACCAACATCACTGTCAACATTGGCACTGAACACGGCCTCTAGCCACTTCCTCCAGCACAACTTCCCCCTGCCAAAGCTACAAGCAAACCTGCAGCCGAAGTCCCAGCCAAACAGGAAAAAGGGCCACTCAGAGTAATAGTGTACCCTAAGAGACCGCCAATCATGTTTCACTCTGGCATTATTTCAGTTGGGTAATCCTGCCAGTTCATGCTGTAGGGTGGTAGTGACTCTCCTCAGGGGTCTCGGCTTTTTTCCTCATGTTAAACTTTTTCATCAATTTGTGGAGGATTTAGAATCAACATCTTACTACCTGTGGATAGTCAGTCACTCATTTGGGTGATTAAAACGCCCGATGTATTAAAAATATAAACAATAGATATGAATTTCTCAGCCTTTAGGTGACAGCTCTCCACCTTGGTTCCCACGGTCCTGTTATATCACTGATTATTCTTCCAAGGGAGCTACAGCAAAGAGAGAAGGGTAAAAGTTGGACTCTGAGGTTATACTATATACCAACAGTACCAACAGCGCTGGGTTCGCTGGTTAAACCTTGTGATGCCTTAGAATCATTTTTTTTTTTTTTGGCTTCTTAGGTGTACTTTACATCATTTAGTATTTTGGGTTTAATGGTGCAGTAGCTGCAGTTGCCAGCAGTCACACTGTGCCACAACGGAGCCATTGAAAACGGTGAAGGATTTTTGTTTCCAGTTGAGTATGTGAAGCTGCTACAGTGGGTACTGAAGGAAAGAACTTGTGTTGCTGTTACTACTATGACTGCTTTTGACATAACAGTGCACATATCCTGTTTGTGTGAAAATATCTGGGCCTTCATTTAGAAAGGATTGCTACGCAGAGATTTTTCTACTTCAGTTTGGCTTATGTATATAAAAAAAGGCTATATCATGGTAATGTTTTTGAACTGGGTTTGAATTACCTTTACCGTAGCTCTCACAGCAAGGCCAAAGTACAGTTCCTCTGTGTAGCATTTATCTTGGTGGTAATCTGTGCATTCATTTCAGCCTTTTATTTCAGCATATCAATTCAACTGAGTTTTCCTTTTTGTGTGTATTTGTACATTTGCCTTTATCAAACTGAGCATTTTGCTGTAATACTGATCAGGCTTCTGATTCACATCAAAGTGTAGTCTGTCTTGCTTAAGCTTTCTTTTACTTAAAGCTTTTACACTATGTTGATTGTGTACAGTGTACTACACAGCTCTTTATGTAATTGTGTCCCTCGAGTGTGTGTGCTCTGTCAATGATTTACACCATGATAATGTGTAATTTTTTAAATATATCTTTTGCCCTTGTCCTAAAGTCATGCACAGAAATCGTTACTGCAGCGCAGATCAGCTGTAAATGCTGCAGTTGCAAGCTCAAGATATTGGAGTCAAATTGATCTCTCTAGACAAACCAATTAGTTCAGTAGCTTGAGTCCACAGCACAACATGACAAATATCTTTGATTGCTGTTGATGGGCAGTCAGAGTTGTTCTTCTGTTGTCACCAGAGAACAGTGTAAATGTGTTTCAGCTATTTACTTAAGTTAAAAGATTAGCTTGTCCTTTTGTGTCTTAAGAAATCTGTGACATCTTGGATTGATGTAATCATTTAAAAACCCACAAAGTAATGTCTGAATGCATTGTTAACATTTGATGATATGGTAGTGTGTTTTGTTAAATTTCTCCTCTGGTAAAGCTGAAGATATTTGCCTGCAGCAGATTGGCTGGCCAATGTGAGGAAGCAGGCTTGGTTTCTTTCACTTTTTATTCTTTTTCAAACCTTTTAAAGACGGTTTCTCACTTGTAATCACCATCCGTGACTTCAGTATTGACTCAGAAAACCAGTTTAATGATTTGTCAACATCCTTCCCAACAGTAGTCTTGTTGCTGCATCTCGACTCTGCCCTCCTCTTCTGACAGATCTGATTGTTTACACCAGAATATTGACAGTCCCTTCTTCCTACGAGCATAGGCCTTATTGACAGGTGAACGGACAGGCTGAAACCAAAGATGACTGCATGGATTTAAAAAAAAAAAAAAAAAAAAAAAAAAAAAAAAAAAAAAAAAAAAAAAAAAAAAAAAAAAAAGTGTTGTACTCCACATGTTGGGAATGATTTCTGTAATGCTGTTTTGTGTTAAGGCACAGGTGATTTGTTTCTTCCCATAAATGATCATAGACTCTTTTCAGTTCAGAGAATCTTAAAGCAGTGTGTGTATTTCCCCAAATCCTACATACCACAGAATGGTAAGTCATGTTGTCTTTCAGTAAAGGGATGAGAGTAGTTTGGAGAGTAGTCTTTCTGTGTGTTGTGAGATGAGCACTGAGATTGTTACCTGTTATTGTCATGGATCGATGACTACACACTGTAATATCATTTCTGATGTGAATTCATACACATCTCCTTTGGCCTTAATCACTCACAGTGCTAGCATTTTGACTACATATGCATGACAGAGATGCCTTGAGGCGGGTCACAGTGTGGATATGATACATAACAGTGCTCATTTAGAAACTATGAAGCATGCTGAAATGTCTGTGTTGACAACTGGAAACTCTTGTGACTTTAAAAGTTTCCATCTGCTATATGCTACGCTGCTCACTGTTGTATAAAAACTAGGGAAATGTGAAGGACATTCTGAGGAAAATGTACAAAGGAAGCTTATATTCACAATGTACTGTCTCCATAATTTACTGTTTGTGTTTTTATTTTAAGCTACTTTATGTTTGATGTGGTTAGACTCTTGGTTTGATGTTAATAAGTTGAGCAACAATATAATCATCACAGGGTAGTACTGAAAGCAGCGGCAATGTAACTTAGTTTTTTTCTGCTCTCTATGAATTCTGCACAGTCCAGAGTGGCCTTAAACTCATTAATAAACTGATTATTCAAAAGAAATGGTCACTTTTACAAACATTTATTGATACACTTCCGCACCCACTCCAGTGTTTGTTTAACAAAGAAAAATTCATATTCTCAGGTGTGCAAGTAACAGTGGTGACCCACCCTCCACACCCCAGAAGGACCCCAGTAGGTGAGTAATTTGACCAACACATGCCCAGAGATTTTAGCATAGACAGGAAACCACTCTTGTAGCAAAAATGGAACGAATTTAACAACGTGAGTGTCAAAGGTACACTCGGTGGCAATTTTATTAGGTACAATTTGTTGCAATACTTATTGTACTTTCGGCTGCTCCCATTAGAGGTCGCCACAGCACATCATCAGTTGCCACCCAGCTGATGATGCGTATGCTAAACTTGTCATGCTTTACGCCAGATTTAGTCTAATTTAGAGTTGCCAATCAACCTAACCTGCATGTCTTTGGACTGTGGGAGGAAGCCGGGGCACCCGGAGAAAACCCAGGCACAGGGGGAACAATTTATTGCAATACAATAATCCAAATTGCAGTTTACATTGTTGGAAATGAGATGTATTCTATTTTACATGTTCAGTATTACTGGGGTCACAGTTATGGCAGTGTACTGCACTACTAGACTCCCATTTACATGTATGAAGGGGACAGATTATTAAAAAAAACTCCCCAGTATAATGGGTTCAGCACAACACCAATGCTATGACCTAAATTCCAGAACATTAGTACCTCTTTCAGTTTTGGAAAACTGAACATTCTAGATATATACATAACATATTGTACATACATATGCATATAACGTATGTATCATAGCATAACAGCTCTACTGGATTGCATTAAATTGTTCCTAATAAATCCTGTTTACTCTTCTATATTGTGCAAAAGTCCCAAAAGGGGTTTTTCTTTTAATTTTTAGCTTGTACAAACAAGTTATCTCATGGGAACATTATCCTGTGCGCCCAAGTTGTCTTGTGTGCACAGGATAATTTGTTCCTACACGAACTTGTTCCCAAGACAAATAACTTGTGCACACAAAATAGCTTATGCACACAAGATTAAAATAAACTACCCCTTTTTGGTCTTTAGAGGCTCCATAATATTCTCTTGTTATATTGTCTTATGTTTCTTAATGCATTTAATTTTTTATGTAAGGCACTTTAGATGGCCTTACTGTGGAGAACTACAGGTGAACTTGCCATGTATTACCTAATAGGAAAACAGAATAAGTCCCTGGCTTGCCATAAGAACTAAATGCAAAATTATTCAGCCCCTTTACTTTCAGTGCAGCAAACTCTCTCCAGAAGTTCAGTGAGGATCTCTGAATGATCCAATGTTGACCTAAATGACTAATGATGATAAATAGAATCCACCTGTGTGTAATCAAGTCTCCGTATAAATGCACCTGCACTGTGATAGTCTCAGAGGTCCGTTTAAAGCGCAGAGAGCATCATGAAGAACAAGGAACACACCAGGCAGGTCCGAGATACTGTTGTGGAGAAGTTTAAAGCCGGATTTGGATACAAAAAGATTTCCCAAGCTTTAAACATCCCAAGGAGCACTGTGCAAGTGATAATATTGAAATGGAAGGAGTATCAGACCACTGCAAATCTACCAAGACCTGGCCGTCCCTCTAAACTTTCAGCTCATACAAGGAGAAGACTGATCAGAGATGCAGCCAAGAGGCCCATGATCACTCTGGATGAACTGCAGAGATCTACAGCTGAGGTGGGAGACTCTGTCCATAGGACAACAATCAGTCGTATACTGCACAAATCTGGCCTTTATGGAAGAGTGGCAAGAAGAAAGCCATTTCTTAAAGATATCCATAAAAAGTGTTGTTTAAAGTTTGCCACAAGCCACCTGGGAGACGCACCAAACATGTGGAAGAAGGTGCTCTGGTCAGATGAAACCAAAATCGAACTTTTTGGCAACAATGCAAAACGTTATGTTTGGCGTAAAAGCAACACAGCTCATCACCCTGAACACACCATCCCCATTGTCAAACATGGTGGTGGCAGCATCATGGTTTGGGCCTGCTTTTCTTCAGCAGGGACAGGGAAGATGGTTAAAATTGATGGGAAGATGGATGGAGCCAAATACAGGACCATTTTGGAAGGAAACCTGATGGAGTCTGCAAAAGACCTGAGACTGGGATGGAGATTTGTCTTCCAACAAGACAATGATCCAAAACATAAAGCAAAATCTACAATGGAATGGTTCACAAATAAACATATCCAGGTGTTAGAATGGCCAAGTCAAAGTCCAGACCTGAATCCAATCGAGAATCTGTGGAAAGAACTGAAAACTGCTGTTCACAAATGCTCTCCATCCAACCTCACTGAGCTCGAGCTGTTTTGCAAGGAGGCATGGGCAAAAATTTCAGTCTCTCGATGTGCAAAACTGATAGAGACATACCCCAAGTGACTTACAGCTGTAATCGCAGCAAAAGGTGGCGCTACCAAGTATTAACTTAAGGGGGCTGAATAATTTTGCACGCCCAATTTTTCAGTTTTTTATTTGTTAAAAAAGTTTGAAATATCCAATAAATTTCGTTCCACTTCATGATTGTGTCCCACTTGTTGTTGATTCTTCACAAAAAATTACAGTTTTATATCTTTATGTTTGAAGCCTGAAATGTGGCAAAAGGTTGCAAAGTTCAAGGGGGCCGAATACTTTCGCAAGGCACTGTATACGGACTTTCAAGTAACCTCTTTGTGTAGAAATGAAATCATTTTATAACAGATTATCAGTTTTTGTAAACAGAATCTGAGTATATCACTATTAGTTTGGCCTGTATGTGTTTGTCTTGTTTTGACTTCTCTAAAACATAGAAAACTAAAATATTATTACCAATAGGCTAGAATGCATATTTACATGATCAGTCATTTGGTTTAGACAGTATAGAAATGCAGTAGCTTTCTTTCAAAATAGTGATGATAAACACGCATGTGTTGGGCTACACTGGGGGAGTGTGACTGGGTTGCCATGAAACTAGGACATTCTATTATTGAGAAATCTATATTATGTGGTATTAAGCAGTTAATTTTTCCCTACTAAACACACAGTTGGATGAAGAATGGTCTGCTAATTTTGACTTTTTATTTTGATATTTTGTTCTGTGACCATTATTTGGATATTGATATTTTTGTGAAGAACAAAAAACAAGAAACTATAACTTGCATGGGTTGGTGCATGTCCTTATAGCATAAGCCACACCCTAGGCTGAATGAGGAAAGTTTTTTCTTTTAACCATACAGATAAATGTCCATAGATAAATATTATATGGAATATGTCCGTAGGCAGCCTAAGCAATTCAGTTAAATTCCATTCAGTTTGATTTGTATAGTGCCAAATCACAACAAAAGTCAACTCAGGATACTTTACAAAGTAAAGTCTAGACCTTACTATTATTAATATTATAGAGAAAAAGTACAGCAAATCCCCCTTGAGCAGCACTTGGCGACTGTGGGGAGGAAAAGACAACACTTCAACTCCTCAACTGTGCAAAGGAAACCACACATCCCACATCCTCTCAATCTGAGAGGCAGATTGACTGAAAGATGAACAGCTCCAGATCTACAGACAGCTGAAAAAAATGCACGAGCTGTACCTGATGACTGAGCAAATTCAGCTTTTCTTTATGTGACCAGTGGGGCCTCAAGCCACTTCTGACACTTTAGAGCTGATGCTTTTAAACTTAAAACACCAATGTTTGGAGGAGGAAACAACATGTAAAATGTGTTTAAGACATATCAATGCCACAAATTAAGAATTTCATTGTACAGGGAAACACGTTTCCTACCTGTGCATATGACAATAAACACTTTGACCTTGACCTTGACCAAAGACAGACAGTAAATCTTAGACTATGCAAACCTGAGCACACAGAACAGAGTTAGTGCAGTGAGCAGTGTTGATGTTTTAAGCCATTTGGTGCATTACGAATTGGTGGTGGGGTCAGATAAGGATTTGTTGCATTTTCTTACATTGCAACAGATTGCATATATTTAGGTTTTGAACTGTAGGTCGGATAAAAGGAGACACTTGACATTACCTTGGGTTTACAAAATTACAATGGGCAGTTTGTTTTCTCATGTTTTATAAACTGAGCAATTAATTGTTTAATCAAGAAACTCATGCAGAATAATTAAAATAGCTTGTTGCTACA